TTCAAGCCGGCGGTAAATATATATATACATATATATATATATATATATATATATATATTGTAGTTGAGGCTCCATGGGCAATGAACCTGCCACCAAAGCAAGTACGATCTTGCATCCAGGTTATGAAGAAAGGAAGCAACTTAACCTGACGGTTTCCCTCCCACCCTTGTCAAGATGGGGTGGGGTTGGAGCGCTGACCTCGTCGCAAACCACCGCGGAATAACTTTGATCCCAATTGTCACTGAAATATTAGCCTCCGTCTTACTCCGACTTCTAATCCCTTCCAAGGAGACAAATATCCACGAACCACTAGCAGGATTCCGATCAGGTCAACAACACGTGCAGACGTAGATTAGGTTATGTAGGCCAAAGAAGACCAATGTTTTGAGTAGTTCTCAAACGATGCATTTTACTAGCCAAAATCTGACCCGCAAAGCAGCGGTGCGGTGCGTAAAAACCGCAGTCTATTGGGGGCCCGTGTCCAGTTCATCGGATCATACACCCATTGGACGGAGTCAAACATCCAAGGTGCCCACACCTCGATGTTTAATCGAGCCAGTGACCACTGCCACAATGAAGGTTTGAATGTGTGTTTCTTGGGCCTCCACTTGCTTGGTTTGGAATCAAAGCCGCAGATCTCCGGAATTCTCCATTTTGTCTCCGATACTGCTTTCAACTTTCGAATCTTCCTTCTACCTCTTCATCCAAATGGGCAGCCAAAAGACAGCAACGAAACCCACCACACGAAGGCGCGGGGTGAATGGTTCGAAATGATACTGAAATAACGATGTTTGTTTTCCCTTCTTCCAGCGAGCTGAATTCACATCCATCTTACTTCTCTGTGTTTGTACAATTTCTATTCTTGTTAGTGATCAGTGTAGTCTGCTGCACTATATTACTTAGGGTGTTGATGTCCAATCATATGATGTTCGTTTTAGGAAAGCCAAGATAGTTTTCGTTCTCAATTTTTATTCCCTCCCCCCTCCCCTAGGTGATTACAGGATCGGGGAACGCAGATGCAATGGAGGCGGAGACCATGCTGCTTTTACATCCTCTCAAGGATATTCCTCGCAATAATCAACAGGCTCTTGCATGGTGCCCTTGGCAACCGGAGTGTCCACAGCCACCAATGATTTCTAATACGGGATCGCTCACGCTTCCTGATGACCCATCTATGCTTTTGGCCGTCTCGTGGGGAAGCAAGGTTTGGCATCGTTAGCCTAATTGCAAATGTAGTCTTGACTGCTTCGCTGATAAACGTAATCTCGTAAAGCGAGAAGCTTAGATTGTGTATTCTGTGTTAACCATAGCGTTCAATTCGTGTCCGTCTCTCATAACAGGCCCATTCTTCATCCACTTCACGAATTCGTATTTAGTATATATTGTGAATTGGGCAGCGACCAGTTAATTTCACTGCATTAAACTTTACCGTACGATGCTGATGCTGAAGTAGAGTTAAAAACGGAACTTGTCGTAAGTGTTTCCTCCACCTACACCCACATGATTCAAGATGGCTTTTCATCGTTATTGGTCACGGTGTAGTAGGAAACATCTCACCTAGAAAAAAGTGTTAGGAGAGAATGGTTTTTCATCCATTCAGGAAATATTTGATTTGGAACGGCTAATCCGCTTTTTTAACATGACTAGAGTACAATACTGTGATTAAGTCATTCCTACCACACGACCTATAGAATTTCAAGTCACTGTGTAAAAGCCACGATGAAGGTTTTCAGTTAAATACGGGTTGAACCCGCGGAGTTTGTTTGGGCAACTAGGTCGTGAATATTTGATTGCATGGGAGCAGCGGCTGCATGTTCCGGTGCACGTTGTTGACTTGTACTTAGGTGAAAACATAAACATGGTTAAAGTTTATTGTTGCTCTTGCGCGATCATTATTTTTTAAGGACAATATAACCTCCCTGAAGTTGACTCTGTCAAATGCTTGAAGCTCAAGGCGAATACCAACCTCCGATTGGCTCATATTGCCAAACAATGATAGTCGGAGTTTCCATTTTCGCAATTCCAGACCATTACTGATCGCATAACCGTTCACCTCCTACGTTTTCATACTAATATTTTCTGCTAATTCTACTCGAGTATTCTTTTGCAGTAATCGGTGAACTTGTGAAACATTTTAAAATTTCACCACGTGTTCTTGTGGTGAAGGAATTAACCTTTAGGATTATTGTTGAATACATTGAATCTTGCACCAATGTCACCTGTTGCAATTCAATCAGTCTTCCTAGTACTCTCATTAAAAAACATCCTACTTCTTGGTTTATTACCTCCCCTATTCGTATTGATTTAGCTTGCATATACCCGACGAAAGAAAAGATAGGGACTGAAATCCAGTAGTGGCATGCGGGTACGAAAGCCCTGGGCAGGCGACTCGGTTATATGGGTCACTTTAGGCTTCCCGGATTGTGACTTCGGGATCAGTCTAGTCAGTAGATGATTAGGGATACTGAATAAGTGATCTGAGGACACCAATAATGGTTTTGTGAAATTAAGAAGGCTTTCGTTTTATGCCCAACGGCTAAAGCACTTGTTCACTACCTTACCTTTGAAACAAAAAACGGTTCAAACGTACATGCATTTTACTGCAGTGGCTCTAAGTCTACCCAATGATTCTTCCTGGTTTATTACAAGGAAATAAACAAGTATTGATCAAGTGTGCAACATCCTGACTTTCATCGCTACTACAAATTTTATCGGGACACTCGAGGTCGCGCGAATTCAACCGATGATACAAGAGAACTAAGAGCATTGCAGTAGGAGATAGTTTGGAATAGATATTCCTCACCCATAACTATCGATATACACGTATGATATTGGAAACTGAAATGGATTTCCAAAATGAGAGTCATGTTACAGGAGTTCGATGAATG